CAGATTTCGGGGACTCAACGGTTTATAGGTATTTTTTTTTCTGTTTCCTTTGGGTTCATCTATGAAGGTCAACAAGTCTCTAAATGGTAAAATAGAAAGCGAAAGCAACTTAAGGGTACAGTTGGCCGGTTCTACATTTATTGTGAAAAAATATAGCAAAGCATTATAGTGATAGTACACACCATTATTGTTTATACATGTCTGAGATATTCAGTTCAACTTTGATCTGAAGTACAAAGAAGTATAAGGCCACAGTAACTGTTATAGATAACAGTTATCATACATATAGGCTACTTTATAAAGAGAAAAAACTGAACCAGATTTATTGGTAGCGTTAAAGAGGTAAGATTTGCCTCACAATAAGGAAAATCAAGCATAATGATAAAATACGGTAAATTATATGTCTAGGGATGATGCTTCATATATGAATATTTAGCATTTTTCGACGTTATGCTTATTGAGGCATTGGCATCCACCACTTCAAGTTTTATTCTCATTATATGGCAGTTCAGTATAACTGATGCAATTCAGGCATTAGCAAAGACAAGCAAACAAATTCAAAATAGAAGAAAAGATATATACATTTGGAAAGGAAGGATGGCCATAATCTGAAACAACATGCAATCAACTGTTACGGTTGCAGGCCATGAAAGGCTGGACGAGCCGGCCCAGCAGGCGATGGAGGGGGCGGAACCTGAAACCAAATCCAGGGAGATTTTGGCCTCTCTTGTGGGGCCCAACAAAGCAATAAATCATTATGTTAGGAGAGTAATTAAGGAGGGAAATATCTAATATTTGAATTCAAATAGTAGAGGGAAATTAATAAGGAAAGAAGACTTATTTGAAGGGGATTAATTAAGAGATGTTTCCTAATTAAAAAAAATGACAAATTTGGGGGCTAAATTGGAGGAGATTAATTAGGAGAAACTTCCTAATTAAAGAGGACAGATTTGGGGGATGAATTGGAGGAGATTAATTAGGAGATATTTCCTAATTGAAGAGAGTTGATTTAGGGCCTAATTTGAGAGGGAATTGAGGGAGTACTGTTTTGGAATTTGTTGTTTTATTTTTTGGTATAAGTATTAGATTTATGTTATGTTTGTATAGAGAAGTTTATGTGAGAGTTACTATCGTTTTCTTTTTGTGAGGGATCCTAGCGGCGTCTAGGGTTTGGGAGAGAAGGTCCTCCTCTCGAAAGAGGACCATTGTATCTTTCTTTGTTCTTATTTGATTTTCTATCAATATAAATATGTTTTTGTGTTGAATCTCTTAGAGTTTGTTGCTGTTTTTGATACCATAGGCGCATCAAATTGGTATCAGAGAGAAGTTCCTCCTCTCGAAAGAGGACCATTGTATCTTGCTTTATTTGTATTTGATTTCCTATCAATATAAATTTGTTTTTTTGTAGAATCTCTAGGAGTTTGTTGTTGTTTTTGATGTCATAGGCACATCAAATTGGTATCAGAGAGAAGGTCCTCTCGAAAGAGGACTATTGTATCTTTTTTTGTTCGTATTTGATTTCCTAGCAATATAAATATGTTTTTGTGTTGAATCTCTTGGAGTTTGTTGCTGTTTTTGATACCATAGGCGCGTCATCAACATCCAAAGGGATCTTGTATTAGCATAACAG